GCAGAAGCAACGAGACGGAGACCAGTACGGAAGAAGATACGTCCCATAAAATTAAGATACTTTGTTGAATTGTAATTTTGTGTTTGTAATTCTGTACATTTTAAGTTATTGTTATCGGTTTATTGTATGTGGTTATTGTTCGGGACGAACAATACTAAGGAGGGGCAGTGTTGCGTCAGCGTTTTCTAGAAATATCCTGTTCCTTCGTGAATGCCCTAGCATGTACTATATTGGGGGTAGTCTGGTATATATAAGATGGTCACAACGTGACGGGACAACAGTGTAATGAGTAATTGAATGTATGCGGACAGAATATTGTTGGCCACGTGAGATATAGCGTCTGTTATAGCGCGACTGTTGAAGTTAAGTGTATCGTAAAGTTGTATTCGGAAAGAATAAACCAGTTTTATTAAGAAAGGACTTGTGTTGCTAAAGTTTCGTCGGAACGAAGTTACGGAAAATTAACTAACGAACGGAGACGTAACAGTATGTTCCAAACATCACTGTTTCACAATGACTAAACATCTATAACGTTTTTAAATATAAAAGTACATCCTATTAATTTCCAACACAAAACGATGTTTATTTGTGATATTATCTAACTGCTAAAAGCGATAATTTGTGGTAGCAATGGCTAAGACATAAACTTATTTCATCCATTCTGCAAGTGAAGAAACCTAATTATTTGGATGATCACAAAATCTCTTCTTTTTTCTTAAATACTGTGTGATCAGTTTCGTACTTTGAAATGACATGTTATCTTTAAGCAGAGGATCCTTTTGATTTACCACTTATCATTGAGTTATACCAATTTCTGGGAATTCTACACCTCATCAGTAACTCTGGACAAGGGCAAGTTCATTATAGTGATGTAATCTGTAACCAAGTAAGAATTGATTTAACTAATAAAACACAACATTTTTTAACACTTTAATCTATCCCAAGAAAACTTTGAATTTCAAACATATCAAGTGAGAGTCAATTTACAAGAAAGCAATCCTATATATGAAAATTATTATAATGGCGGGACACTATGTTGTTAAGATTTCATTGCTGATGAACCTTACATCAACCAAAGTGGACGTTCTTGTGACGATGCACGATATTTGTATACCAATTTTTCTAAGGTACCAACATGTATGAAGAACATACTACATATACTTCAGGGGTGGTAGTCTTTTGCATATGACTACATTGAACACAATAAAGTTAATGTGTATTTTGTTGTAAAGCTAACCTCCCACACTCTTAACCAACCTTACTTTGGCTTTTGTACGGCCAGATTGAGGAAAACCCACCTTCAAAAACATCAAGTTCATATTTCGGCATCCAATTGAGCGATTGATTGGGCTTCGTATATATATATTTTTTGATTACAACTTATGAAAAATTAAAATTTAAGTTTGAAATGATATTTTACTGTGTTCTTATTGTACTGACATCACCATTTCTAACTATGAAACTTGATAAACCCTTAAAACTATAATGCCGCCTATTGTTTCCTTCTGAAAGTGTTTTGCTCACTTCTTTATTCAGCTTCATTAGTTCTTCTTTTGTTGGCATATTGTGGTATAGGCCCTACCTCTGGAACATCAGATAACATACCGAGTTGTACAAATAGTTTAGTTGCTTAAACTTTTAATATTGCTAGAAAGATGAAGTAATATTAGTTCCCCCAAAAATGATTCTCTCTTAATTTGAAGTAAACAGTCACATTTTTTAATTCTGTTTTTTACTTGTGTGTTGAAAAACTGCTTTACTTATACCTATTTTGTTTTTTCTTTGTAACTAAATTAAGGTCTTTATATTGTACAACATTTTTTTTCAGATTATTTGAACAAAATTATGTGCATAAAATATTTAGCATTTCATTATTGAAAGTTCTGTAATTGTTTAGTAATATTTAAAGGTTAAGCTTGATCAGTAGCCCGTCAGTTGCTTAAATAAAATATTCCATCAGTGACTTAAGCTCTCAAATATTCTTTGAGAGCTAATTAAGAAGTTGGTAAAAAATTGATGGTTTATTTGTAAGAATTTATTTTATTAAAAGGTACAAGTGAAAATCTTAAAATATCCTATTTATTACCAAGATATTAAACACTGTAAACACACTTATATTACTTATAATTTTTTTACTATCTATGGAATGTTTACAGAAGGCAAATGAATCATACTTCTTAAGAGATAAGTAACACGTTTTTAATAATAAACTGGTAAATGTATACTATGAATAACATTAAATGCAAATATATAATGTAAACATGCTGGTAATCAAATTGAATTTTGTTTTAATCCATCTAAACTCCTATTTTATGTGAAATTATTACATGATTTTACAAATGAAGTACTTGAAGAAGAGTATTTCTGTACTTGTATCCTACAATAGAGCTAAAAGGCTAAGATGAAGTCCTGCTGGGCATATGTAGTCTTGCCCTTCCAAGTGTCTTTAGTCTCTTTATTTCTTTGCTTCCCCCAGTAAGGGGTAAAGTTGTCAGTTTGAAAGGTTATAAAGATAAAACTTGGAATTAAAATTGGTGATCAATCCCTGTTGTGGACACAGCACAGATGAATAAATGTTTTCAGATATCAAATCCTGATTCTATCGTTAATGTTCACTGGTGGGTCAGTGATAAGCTTACAGACTTACAAAATAAAAATCCCGAGTTTGATTCCTTGTGGTAAATAGAGTGCAGATAGACCATTGTGTAGCTTTGCACAAGTAAAACAACAACCATCTCCATTTTTTTCAGTTTGTGTTTTTAGTTACTATTACCAAGTTTACTTGTTTGTCTGACTGTAGATAACTATTAATTTATGTAACATTAAATTAGTTTTTATTTTCCTCTCTTCCTGATGGTCTTATTTATAGTAAATTAACCATCATAATTAATAAACCCAATTCATATTATTCATTCATATTCTTGGTACTCACAGTGGTTACTCATTATAGATATAAGCAGCATCTTTATGGCCATCACTCTCACCGACATCTTCGAACCTATGATCGTCCTGCCTTGGGTTCTGATGTAAAGCCTAGTTATCTTACCAATGCAACCATTACACCGGGGGAAACAAGAATAATAAACACAGATTTCCTCGAACAGATAGCAAGTAGGTTTATTGTTTGTGCATTCCTGATTTTTTGTCCTAATTATTGATATGTCCTCCATGTGTCTATGTGTTATAATTTTTGTGTAAAAGCGATTAAAAGTAACCTTCAGTTGAATTTTAAGCTTATGGCAACAATTGTGACGTCATATGTAATTAATATGCATATACAAGTGATATGCTAAGTTATAATTAATGCTTAATTAATTAATTAGACATTAATTACATATAATTTACATCAAGTTAATTCCTTAACATTTAATTAGACATTAATTACTAACTTGCATATACTTTGCACATGCATATAATTACACATGACATCCCAATTCCGCCTCCAGAGTGCCATCCCAACTACTGAAGTACAACCCAGATTCTACATAGTGAGTTCAATTATGCTTTAATCGTATGAAAAGTGTCATGAAAGTGAAATGTTTGCCACTTGAAACATACTTTGACACGCACACAAACAAACATACAAAACATTTGGTATCACAGAGTTTAAGATTTTATGATTTTTAACTTTTTCATTGTTTTATTAAGTAAAGAAAAATATTAATTCTAACCAGATCATCGCTATGACAATTTCCATCGTCTGAGGCGGCATAAAATTCAAAAGAAGGACTCAGTGTCATCTTTAATGCACATGAGTCGCAAGGAGAGATTGAGTAAAACATCTTTATCCTTCTTTAATGAATACTACAGCCATCAACCACATAAGGTAAGAAAATATTTTTATTATAGATCATTTTATAGAGTGTCGAAAAAGGGATAAATCTTGACAAATATTTGTAGATGAGATAATGTGCCGATACGCCATCTATTATAGTTATATTTAATCCTAACTTGTTCCTAAAACATTGATTTATTCATTGTAACACTTTAATCAGTGTGTCTATTTGCGGTTAAGAAAAAAAACAAAACAACGAAATTGCGTGAATGTTCAAATAGGAAGCAACAGCATTCATTTTAAAACGTTTGAGCATAAGAGATACAGATCAAAATCAAATGAAATGCCCTTAACGTGTAATACTTTTAAAACTATCTGCAGATAACAGGATACGTTTTCGCAGGTTTTTGTACAGCTTGACGAACTGGTATCAAATGGCAATCAATATTTAGAATGGAAAGAAACAGCACGATGGATTAAGTACGAAGAAAATTTAGAGGAAGATGCCAATAGATGGAGCAAACCTCACATCGCACCTTTATCTTTTCACAGTCTACTGACCTTACGGAAATGTTTAGAGCATGGTAGGGATATAGTTTGCTATGTTTAACTGATCAGCAAAGTAATGGTCTTTGTCTTCATAAAGAAAGTTTTTTAAAGTGAGTCTTTCTTAGCAGGTAACTTCAAGAAAATAATTAAACCAATTGTAATATATATATATATATACCTGCGTCTTTCGTATGAGCTCTAGATATGCCGGATCAGCTTCTAATCGCCTAGCCAACTATTAATATGATATTCAGTTTCTTTTGCACTCTTGTTTGTTTTTTATGTGTGGCAGGTAGAAAACACTGATTTGTTAGCTTTGACATAAGTGTCTAAAAAATATTATCCGTCTTTATAAGTACATAACGGGCGTTTGTCAAAAATCATGATAAACGTGTATTTTGACATTCAGACTTCTATAAATATTGTTAAAATAGTTTATCAAACCGTTGAACTCCTGGTTATAGGAGTGCTGATGCTAGTAAACGTTGCCACGACGAAACTAGAAGGTTTACTGAAGAACTTCTTAAGAATGTTTTTAGAATAATTGCCAAACGAAAAGTACAAAAGAAAGTTTTGTTTTTGGAATTTCGCGCAAAGCTACATAAGGGCTATCTGCGCTAGCCGTCCCTAATTTAGCAGTGTAAGACTAGAGGGAAGGCAGCTAGTCATCACCACCCACCGCCAACTCTTGGGCTACTCTTTTACCAACGAATAGTGGGATTGACCGTCACATTATAACGCCCCCACGGCTGAAAGGGCGAGCATGTTTTGGTGGGATGCGGATTCGAACCCGCGACCCTCAGATTGCGAGTCGAGCGCCTTATCCACTTGGCCATGCCGGACCACAAAAGAAAGAGAGATAAATTTGAGGTTACTAGATATGATGCGAAGCTAAAAGCTATAGTTGAAATTAACGAAACAATTAAATTCGCTGAGTATTTTGTTTTATTGTTAGCATTTTGGATCATATATATATCAAGTGTTTTATAAATCAAACCATGTCAATTAAGGAAAGCAAATGACTAAAAAAATACTTGAAATGATTTGACGTAAATGATTTAGATTTGCTAAGAAAATAAGATGAATGTATGTCCTTAGATGTTACGTTAAGTATACCAAGATGTCTTGATGCAAATACAATTTCTCACCGTCCTTATAAAGTTTTTAATAATTTAGACGAACTTTTATAAATTCTTTATATATTTGTTTGTTTGAAAAAATTATATCATATACAATAAAGTTGTGAATAAACGAACCTGAGATGATATATTCTGATCCAAAGTCGACAAAATAGTTTCACGAACCTCAGATGAAATATTCTGATCCAACGTCGACAAAATAGTTTCACGAACCTCAGATGAAATATTCTGATCCAACGTCGACAAAATAGTTTCACGAACCTCAGATGATATATTCTGATCCAACGTCGACAAAATAGTTTCACGAACCTCAGATGATATATTCTGATCCAACGTCGACAAAATAGTTTCACGAACCTCAGATGATATATTCTGATCCAACGTCGACAAAATAGTTTCACGAACCTCAGATGAAATATTCTGATCCAATGTCGACTTAAATAGTTTCAAGCTACTGAAGTACTTCTGTTCCTGGAGTTGTTAAAACAATGAAAAATTAATAGTTTGAAGACACAAAATTTTTAATGATAAACATTGAGTGATTTTTTTAAAACGCTGCACAGAAAGTATTAGATAAATCTCTACTTTTAAGATTAAAAATTGACACTTTCTTCTGTAATAGTTTTTATCATTACAAACTGAACTGTTTTTTTTTTCAATGAGAGAGAGATTTGGGTATAAAATTTTTAAAATTGTATACGTTAACATTTGATAATTTTGTATTATAAACACGAAACACCAATTTCCTCAGTAGATGTTCTGTAGTCGTTAAAACATTTCTAGAAGAATCTGTTCTTAGTTTCAGTATTAAAAAACTTAACAAGGAGTAGGATGTTGATTAAAATATATTTTTTAGAATTATAGTTTCATCTTCCTTACGAGTCCTTACGAGTTTTAAAATAACTGTTAATTGTGGACTATGCTTTATTGTTATTATTTTTAAACTGTATTAACAGAAGAAACTCTAGAGTTATTGGAAACACTGGTAAAACTAATATTTAAAAATAGGGATGCATGGGTACCCGGCCAGATATTCGATCCTGGCCGGGTATTGGACTACCCGGTAATACTCGGCTCCGGCTGAGTGTTGAAGCTAGGCATCTAAGCCATAATTGGTTTAGTTATAAAAAAAACACGTGTTCCTAGCAACAAAAACTGACCGTCCGCTGAAAGTCGGGGTTTCAGAAAACAATAGGGGTTAATAACAGGCATGGCTTGAGAAGTGGATTTCTGGGGAAGGTGGGTTTTTTGATAACAATAGGGGGTTAGGGTTTGAGAAGTTGGGGCTACTAGGCATTGAAAGTTGAAAGTAAAACTTGAATGTTCTGTTGGTGATTATTTGGTTAAATGGGGGGGGGGGGAGAACCCGGTCCCGGTTGACACCCGACCCCGGCCGAAGCTTAATGACAGGGTACCCGGATCCGGTATTCGGCCAAATTTTACTACCCGTGCATCCCTACTTAAAACCGTTTCGTTTATCTCGGATCGCACTCAGTAGAGATTCAAAGCACATCTGAACTGATTATACTGTCAGTTTCATAACGATACCACACTGATACGGTTTTATGTCCAGAACAATGTTCGATCTTAAGTAAACAATATAGGTGCGAACGATATTTTGAGTTGAAATATCTCTGTATAGGAATACTATTGTTAGACCTCGAGGAGAATGGTCTTCCAGACATTGCTTACCGAATCGTGGAAACCGTGGTTCTGAATGATCAAGTTAAGCCTGAGCACCAGGCAGATATGATAAGGGTACTCCTTCTTCGTCACAGACATGTGGACGAACGAAGATTCACGCCATTCTTTCGAGGGAAAAATGTGTCCAGTCTCAGCCATATGGAACAAAACAAGTGAGTCTTAGTTAGTTTCTTCCCTTCTTTTGTTCTCAGCCACAAAGTTACACAATAGGCTATCTGTAGGTTATCGAAACCTGATTCTCAACGTCATTAACGCTCATATTTGCCACTGAGCCACCTAAGGACATGAGTTTTAGTTTATTCTACACCATAATATTAAATTATTTACATATCTACAGTGTATTTTGATATTATTAAAATGTTTCTCTGATCCTAAATGAAACCTTAGAGATATTGTAATATTTTCAAGAAAATCCTTTTTCTTTCGATATTAAACATTAGCCCCCCTTGAATGTTGTCAATAAATATGTGTTTTAGTCTACGTTTGTAAAACTTTTTTGATTATTCAAATAAATTATTCTGCTAACCACTATTTATTAATGTGGTTTAGTGTTACTTACGTGACATTGTCGGTCAACTGTATTTTGTAGATATATTCATCAAAATATTTTCAATAAGTCATCAACAACAAATTTCTTTAAAGGAACGTTTTATAAGACGATTCAGTTCCTCAATTTAAAACACTATTTATTACGGATTTTACTCTGATGTTGTGTAAACATCGGTGAAAAGTTGATCTATGTGTTTTTCTTATTCCAGTTAAAAGCCGTAATAAATATTGTTTTAAATACAGTGTTGGGATAGCTCTAACTTTTAATTACGATTTTCAATTCAAGTATTGATAAGATGTGATTCTTGCTTAATTTAATCTAATATGTTTTTGTAATTTTATTAAATCTAGGTCGGAAGCGTCTGAAACCAAATGTTCTGTTATAGAAAGCTCTCAGGTAGGTTCACCAGTAGGAACCTTTGAAGTATATGTTTATCTGAGGTAGGTTCACCAATAGGAACATTTGAAGTATTTGTTTATTTGAGATAGGTTCACCAATAGGAACTTTTGAAGTATTTGTTTATCTGAGGTAGGTTCACAAATAGGAACCTTTGAATTATTTGTTTATAAGATCGAGATTATGCATTTATGTCATGTGAAGAGATTAGCTCTTGTTTCTACTTTCTTATTTAAATCGTATTCCTACGCAAACTATTATGCTCCATTGTTATGTGCCCTTCTTTGCCTATTCCATTGTTATGTACCCCCATCTTTATCTATTCCAGTGTTACGTACCCCTTCTTTATCTATTCCAGTGTTGTGTATCTCTTTCTGTATCTATTCCAATGTTATGTGTCCCTTCTGTATCTATTCCAGTGTTGTGTATCCCTTATTTATCTATTCCAGTGTTGTGTATCCTTCTCTTTATCTATTCCAGTGTTATGTGTCCCTTCTGTACCTATTCCATTGTTCTGTATCCCTTCTTTATCTATTCCAGTGTTGTGTATCCTTCTCTTTATCTATTCCAGTGTTATGTGTCCCTTCTGTATCTATTCCAGTGTTGTGTATCCCTTTTTATCTATTCCATTATTATGTACCCCTTCTTTATCTATTCCAGTGTTGTGTATCCTCTTCTTTATCTATTCCAGTGTTGTGTATCCCCTTCTTTATCTATTCTAGTGTTATGTGTCACTTCTCTATCTATTTCAGTGTTATATGTCCCTTCTCCATCTATTCCAGTGTCATGTGTCCCTTCTCTATCTATTTCAGTGTTATATGTCCCTACTCTATCTATTCCAGTATTATGTGCCCCTTCTCTATCTATTCCAGTGTTATGTGTCCCTTCTCTATCTATTCCAGTGTTATGTGTCCCTTCTCTATCTATTCCAGTGTTGTGTATCCCCTTTTTTATCCATTCCAGTGTTGTATATCACTTTCATTATTTATTCCAGTGTTATGTATCCCTTCTTTATCTGTTTCAGTGTTATGTGTCCATTCTCCCCCTTTTTTTAACACATTCCAGTATTGTATGTTCCCTTCATTATTTATTCCAATGCTGTGTATTCCCTTTATCTATTGCAGTACTCATCCAAGGCAATTTCCTGGAATGGAAAGCACCAGAGATTTCAAATTCTTTAAGATTAAATATCATCTCATATGCCAATATACAGCGTATTCAACATGATAATCATATTGCACACAATTTCTAAATATATAAATCAAAGCTAAGTTTCAATCGTTTAACAGAAATAAATATCTATTCCTATTATTCAATGCATTCCAAATAAAAGTCCAATACATTCTCATCTTTGAGTAGTAAAATTTTTAATTTTGAAATATGTCTTTAGAAAATAATAAGATGAAATATTGGAGTATAAAGCTTTAAACTACACGTACACCATTTCCATACTAGCCCCCCCCCCCAGGTGGCACAGTCTGCGGACTTACAATGCTAGAAACCGGGTTTCGATACCCGTGGCGGGCAGAGCACAAATAGCCTATTGTATAGCTTTGTGCTTATTTGTAAAATAAACAAATAAATAAAACAAACTTTCCATACTAGTTCTGTAGAACTCTTTATGCTTACAAATTCTGGAGTGGTAGGGTAACTACTGAGTTCATATCACATATACTTGCTTACAGTACTAGTTCCAGAGAACATATTATTACAGATCGTAGAGTAGTAGGAGAGCTCAGAAGTTCAGAAAATGTGTAAAACCATTCACTACTAGTTCTATAGAATTATTTTGTGATTACAGATCCCAGAGAAGTAGGGTAAGTAGTGAGATCAGACAATGTGTCCACTCTTTCAGCACTAGTTCTGGACAATTATCATGTGATTACAGACCCTAGAGAAGTAGGGTAATTGACGATATCAGACAGTATGTTCACTTTTTCTTACACATTCTGGAGTAGTAGGATAACTAGTGAGTTCAGATTACATATACACGCTTACACTACCAGTTCCAGAGAACACATTATTACAGAGTCCAGAAAATGTGTAAAATCTCTCAGTACTAGTTATAGAGAATTATATTATGATTACAAATCCCAGAGAAATGAAATCATACAATGTGTTCACTCTTTCATTACTAGTTCTTGAGAATTATTTTGTGAATGCAGATCCCAGAGTAGAATGGTACCTAGTGATATCATATAATGTGTTCACTCTTTCACTACTAGTTCTGGAAAAGTATTTTGTGATTACAAATCCCATAGAGTAGGGTACCTCGTGAAATCATACAATGTGTTCACTCTTTCACTACTAGTTCTGGAGAATTATTTTGTAATTACAGATCCAGAGAGGTAGGGTACCTCATGAGATCATACAATGTGTTCACTCTTTCACTACTAGTTCTAGAGAATTATTTTGTAATTACAGATCCCAGAGAGGTAGGGTACCTCGTGAGATCATACAATGTGTTCATTCTTTCACTACTAGTTCTAGAGAATTATTTTGTAATTACAGATCCCAGAGAGGTAGGGTACCTCATGAGATCATACAATGTGTTCACTCTTTCACTACTAGTTCTAGAGAATTATTTTGTGATAACAGATCTCAGAGAAGTAAGGTACCTCGTGAGATCATATAATGTGTTCACTCTTTCACTACCAGGTCGGGAGAAATATTTTATATCTTTTTTTTTCGCCTAATAGAGTTAGAAAGAGTTAAGAAGTAAATATACAAGTAATTTGAAGATGTACAAATATCAAAATTACAGATATTATTGAGATGTGTTTTATGTTACTGTATCAAATCGTAAGAAATAAGGCATTCTCTGTCTATCTATCGTGCAAGTATCCTTTTAGCGATTTTAAATACAATCACAACGAAAGTAATTGAAATGCGAAATAGTTCGCAAAGTTTGTACAATATATCTATTGTAATTGCTTAAATATTGTTATCCACACCAATTTCTACTACACCGACAGACCCCTGTAGAAGAGCTGCAATCAAATTTACAGTCTGCGTCCACAGAAGTATTTTCTCGAAAGAAGTCTAACATCCTCCGACGTATCCCTGATGGGGCTGAGGCTACATCTGTATTAGTAGGTTCTCTAAACTTTCTGGAACGGCCTGTAGTTGTTTTCGTGAGGTTGGCCAGAGGTCAACTCTTACCAAATGTCACAGAGGTAAGGACAATCAATTCCTATACATGTGTTGCCTTAAATTTTATTTTCTTTTACTGTTAATTTTCTAAGAATTCTCCAGTAGAAACGTTTTTATAAAGCATTTTATTACACGAAGTTTTTATCGAACATTCTTGTTATCCTCTGGAAGGTTTCTATTCCTGTTAGATTTCTCTTCATATTATTGGGTCCGACACAAACAGACTTGGATTATCACGAAATTGGACGATCGATCTCTAGTCTTATGTCAAACAAGGTAAGTAACGCTTTCCTGCACTCCGGCTCTAGTGATTACTTTTGAAATGGCTGTATAGTACATTTAATGTAACTTTATTCTCTTATATAACACTTACTAGTTTTATTTGTTTGTTGAATTTCACGCAAACCTATTCGAGAGCGGTCTGCGCTAGATGTCTCTAGTTTTGAAATGATAAACTAGAGGAAAGGCAGATAGTCAACAACATCTACCGCCAACTCTTGTTAGGCCGAATAGTGGGATATGACCGTCACATTTATAACACACCCATGGCCCTACAGTCCGGCTCGTTAACCTCTGGGCCACGGTTGGTCCACAGCGTATTGGATAGACGCAGAGCTTTAGTGAAGAAATTGTATTAAATATTTTCCTTTTCTGTAGTATTATATATAAAATCTTTAAAAATTCCAGAAAGTAAGTTTGATTTATTATTAAATTATGCTGAACACGATAAAGTATATGGCCACCCAGTGGCACAGCGGTATGTCTGTGGACTTACTACGCTAGAAACTGGGTTTCGATACCCGTGGTGGGCAGAGCACAAATAACTCTTTGTATAACTTTTTGCTTAACTACAAACAAACGGTAAAGTATACGTTTATTAATTACTTAGCCAATCTGGCGAACCAATTTGAAATACTTTAACTATCACTAAAGCCCCATACAGGAGATTGAACAACCAAGTTTAGATTCATAAAATGCTGTACTGGTAACAGATACTAACAAGGGATATGGGGAAAATGTTTTAGTCGTACACAAGAGATAGCCATCGTGTTTGAACTGGATAGTAAGTCGTGCACTAGATATTAGTATTTTCTCCCTATGACCCCACCCCCCTGGGCTCAGCAACTGGTAGCCTCCTTGTAGCATGGCTTTATATATGAGGACTTACAATGCTAGAAACATTTTTTTCGATGCCCGTGATGGGCAGAGCACAGAAAGTCCTTTGTGTAACTTTGTGCTTAACTACAAACAAACAAACCGTTACTGATAAACCATTTTATTGAAATTAGTAAGGTATGAAGCTCAACTTTTATCATTTAAAATACAAATTAATGTTCTTATATCTTAATGTTAATAATTTTCAATAATGCTCGATAAAGGTCAAACTGTCTTATTATTTTTACAGCATTTTCACGAGGTTGCCTGCATAGCTGAGGAAAGGAATGACTTCCTATTTGCCATCAATTACTTTTTGACTAACAGTATTGTTTTGCCACCTGGGGACTGGAAACGCAATTCTCTCCTTTCATTTGAGGAAATTAAAAGAAAGAATCAAGAGCTGAGACGACGAAAGAATAATATAGAAAACAACGGTAGGACACTTGTACTTCCACTGTGTAATGTTTGATAATATAGAAAACAACGGTAGGACACTTGCACTTCCACTGTGTAATGTTTGATAATATAGAAAACAAAGGTAGGACACTTGTACTTCCACTGTGTAATGTTTGATAATATAGAAAACAACGGTAGGACACTTGTGCTTCCACTGTGTAATTTTTGAATTATA